TCTCCGGACCTGCACGCTACCTCTCTGGACCCGCCCCTCCCACAGCCCAGGACCCGCCCTCGCTGGCTCGACCTCTCCCGCCGAACCGGACCCGCCCCCAGTCTCTCTGGCCTCGCCCATCCAGCCCTCCACGACCCACCCCCTGTCTCCCTGGCCACGCCCCTCCCGCCGACCCGCCCAGACGCACGCAGGAGCCGCATGGAAGCGCTGGACGCTCCGAGTCGGTTGGCGGCGCGACACGTGTAGTTGCCGTAATGCCGGGCGCTCACGTTGGCAAAGAGAAGCATCGAGCGGGTGCGCTCCGTCTGCACCTTCAGGCCCTCGGCCGTGCCGCTGCTCAGCCTGCCGGGGATCGGGGTTAAGGACGCACAGCCCAGCCGCGACTCTCTGGCTCTTCCATTCCCCGGAAACCCTGCATTCCGCCCCCTACTCCAGCGACGCTGGCCTCGGGTTCTAGCTCCTCGTGGAGCCCGGGTCCCTCCGACCGCCGCCCCCTCCAGGCACCCGGGCCCTGCAGGGACACTGGACTCTCCAGGGTGCGCCCCCAGTCGCTAGGAGCTCCCACACCCTGCTGGACCCAGCCACGATGGTCCCCTAAACCTTGCCCGCCGCATCCTAGGCATTGACCCCCGACTCCAGGCACTCTACCTGAATAGTCGGGGGAGACCGGGCCCCAGCATTCATCATCCAGGGACCCACGTTGGGCTCCCTGAGGCTCGACAGACCCCACACCTAGAAGCTGGACGCCCGGATTCTTGGGACCCAGGGCTCTGCTGCCTTCCGCCCGCCTGCCACCCACTCCCCTCCCCGCAATACGAGGGACCAAGGACCTCCTCTCCCTCCCCACGGCCCACCCCGGGGCTGTCCTCACAGTCTGTCATCCTTGTACCACTGGAAATCCGCGGGAGGCACCGCCATGGCTTCGCAGCGCAGGAGGGCGGCCCGTCCCAGGGCGGTGCGGGCGCTGGTCACGTCCGTGATGGTCGGAGGATCTGGCGAGGGGCGAGGGTGAGCGAACTCTCCCAGTCACGTGGGGACTAAGGGGCCCCGTCCCCCCTCGTCCCTCAGACCCAGGAGTCCGCCCCGGCTTCCTCCTCAATCCGACCCCCCCCCCCCCGAGACCCAGGATCCGCCGCCCCTTCGTGCCCAGTGCCATGCCCAGTGCCAGGGGGGCTCACAGTTGACTGTGACCAGCACGCGGCGGCTGTCGGGTGCCGAGTTAACCCCGTTGTGAGTCACGCACTCGTACTCCCCGGCCTGGCCGCGCTGGATGTCGGAGATCTCAAGAATCTCTCCCTCGGAGGTGAAGCCGTCTGTGAGGGGAGGGAGGAGGAGGGGGCGGGGCCAGACACAAACACTTAACACGGGACAACACGGGCACAACACGGACACACATCAGCGGGGCGGGCACAGCAGGACCTGGAGTGCCCGGGTCAATGGGGAAGGGCGGCTACGGGGTTTAGGGTCTCTCCAGCTAGAAATGGGGGAAGGATTGAGGATCTGGACTTAGTAACTGGAACGCAGTGGAGCGGATCTTAGAATGTGAGAGTTCAAGAGATCCAGGGATCTGAAATCTTCTGACTAAGATCCTAGGGTCTGCGGACCCAGTGGGGAGGCAGATCCCAGGATCTTGGATCTCAGAAGGATACAGCAAATACAGACCCAGTAGGGAATGGCCCAGAGTTCTGGGATCTAGTTCATGGGAATCCGGATCTGGTGTTTGGGATCAGCAATCCAGATGTCTGGCAGGGGGGGTCTGATGACAGATCAGTGGACTCAGGAAACCCTCTGGGACTAAGGGCCTTCAGGGATCCAGGATCTCTGGACTATTCAGATAACCCAGTGGGGCAGGATACAGGGATTCAGGGAATAGAACTTGGTGATTGGCACCATGGACTTCCAAGGACCCAGCGATGGGGGTCCAGGGATCTGGGGGTGGTGGCGGTTCAGGTACAAGGGCTGGTGGGTGATGTTCCAGATCTGGGCTGGGGCCTGAGATGCTGTGTTTCTGGCAAGTTCCCAGGGGATGCTGGTGTTGCCAGTCTGGGACCCACACTGAGAGCCCCTGGGCTGGGAGAGGGAAGGGGATGTGACTAGGGCTACTGGCTGCAACCTAGCGGAGGGCGTCTAATGGTGAGGTTCTGAGTGCAGAGAATTCTGTGCGCTTGTGGGGAGACACCAGGGATATTGGGGTTGGGGAAGTGGGCCAGGTTGGGGTTTGTCAGGTGGATTCTGAGGCAAAGGCCCAGGCCTGGGGTGGCGGGTGGGGAGTCAGTGGTGAGGGCTCTGAGGTCTGGGGTCTTGTGATGAAATAACTGGGAGCAGGAGGCAGGAACCAAGGGACCAGAGGGTTGTGAGGAGAGGTCAGAAGTAAGGGGAGATGGGGGTCTGGGGAACTAGCTAGGGATATGGAGAATGATGGGCCCAGAGTTTGGAGTGGGGAAGGGGCTTTTGGCTGGGATGGGATCCTCACCTCGGAGCTGCCTCCAGGTGACTGTGGGCTCCGGCCGCCCCACAGCCAGGCAGAGCAGGTTCACATTGCCCCCCTCATTCACCGTCACAGGAGACGAGATGTTCACAATGCGGGCAGGGACTGTGGGCAGGGGGGAGGGGGATGGTAAGAAGCTGGAGCCCCTCCTTCCTCAGACAAGAGTCCAGGCCTTCAGTCTCTCCTCCCTCAGACCAGGAGTCCAGGCCCCCAGCCCCTCCTCCCTCGGACCCAGAAGTCCAGGCCCCCCAGTCCCTTCTCCCTCAGACATAGGAGTCCAGGTTCCCAGCCTCTTCGTCCCTCAGATTCAGGAGTCCAGGCCACCCTTGTAGGGAAGGGTCCAGAGTTCTGGGATCTAGTTCATGGGAACTGGGATCTGGTGTTTGGGATCAGCAATCCAGATGTCTGGGTCAGTGGTCTCAGAAGACCCTCTGGGACTAAGGGTCTCCAGGGATCCAGGATCTCTGGACTTTTCAGATGACCCAGTAGGGTAGAATGCAGGTATTCGGTGAATAGGACCTGGTGGTTGGCACCATGGGTCTCCAAGGACCCAGCGATGGGGGTCCAGGGATCTGGGATTTGGTGGTGAAGACCCAGGTATAAAAGCTGGTAGGTGATGTCCCAGATCTGGGCTGTTATGTGCAGACACCCTGGCACTATGTTTGGGGATGACCTGGTTGTGGGGAAGGGGAGGAGGGAGCATCTGATTCAACAGATCTGGGCTGGGGCTTCAAAAGGTGCATTTCTGGCGAATTCCCAGAGGATGGATGCTGGTGCTGCCAGTCTGGGACCCACACTGGCTGAGACAGCGAAGGGATGTGACCAGGGCTACTGGCTGAAACCTAACTGAGGGCATCTAATGGCAAGGATCTGTGTGCAGAGAATTCTGTGGGCTTGTGGGGAGACACCAGGGACATTGGGGTTGGGGAAGTGGGCCAGGCTGAGGTTCGTCGGGTGGATTCTGAGGCAAAGACCCAGACCTGGGGTAGTGGGTGGGGAGCCAGTGGTGAGGGCTCTGAGGTCTGGGGTCTTGTGATGAAATAACTGGGAGCAGGGGTTGTGGGAGAAGGTCAGAAGTGAGGGGAGGCGGGGGTCTGGGGAACTAGCTGGGATTCGGGGAATGGTGGGCCCAGACTTTGGAGTGGGGAAGGGGCTTTTGGCCTGGGATGGGGTCTTCACCTCGGAGCTGCCTCCAGGTGACTGTGGTCTCTGGCCTCCTCCCTCAGACCCAGGGGTCCACCTGATGTCCATTGTGCCTTCCTGTGTGAATCCCCATGTTTCTTTCTTGCCTCTCTGCCCTCTTCTCCAATGTCCCTGTCTGGGCCTGGCTCCTTGTCTAATTGCTGGTCTCGATCTCCGTGTCTTTCCCCACCTTCATCCTAAGATGGTTTTTCTGTCTTCTGGTCTCAATTCCTCTCTCCCTGCCTTTACTTGTATTTATTATTTTTTTAATTAATTTATTTAACAAACACCCATATGGCACTTTCTGTGCAGCAGATTCTGTTCTAAGAGCTTTACAAAAATCCACTGATTAGCCCTTCACTGCCAGCCTCTGGGGTGGATGTTACTATATTTCATTGATTCTGAGACACATCTGTGCTTTTCTCTCTCTCTCTCTCTCTCTCTCTCTCTCTCTCTCTCTCTCTCTCTTTATTTGAACATTTCTTCAATCAGGGTGAACTTTCAGTGTAGGATGTCAGAGTTTAATTGGCAGAGGTTTTTTTGTTTTTCTCTTCTAGCAGGGCATAAAATAAAGGTGATCGTTCCAATGGACAGTGTCTTGGATTTGATCAATGGCAGCACTATTCCCATGTTGAGAAGAGGTGTCCAAGGCCTCTGTGACTGTTCAGGGTCCCTGGGCCAGGGCCAGTGGCACTGATGTTGGAACCCAGGCAGTCTGGCTTCTGGCTCAGAGCTTGTCAGGATCCCGCTGGGCTCTCTGTGTCTCTGGGTCCCATCTCTTCAGGTACTCACTACCCTCCACTTCACCACTTTTTTTGTTTTTTTTGAGTCAGGATCTCACTCTGTCACTGGGCTGGAGTGCAACAGCACAATTACGACTCACCACTGCCTCGACTTCCTGGGTTCCAGGCAATCCTTCCGCCTCAGCCTCCAGAGTAGCTGGGACTACAAGCATGTGCCACCATGCCTGGCTCATTTTTAAATTTTATTTATTATTTATTTTTATTTATTTATTTATTTTAAGTTGGAGTCTCACTCTGTCGCCCAGACTGGAGTGCAGTGGCCACTCCCGGCCACCGCAGTCTCGGCCTGCTGGGCTCTGGTGATCCTTCCGCCTCAGCCTTCCAAGTAGCCGGAATTACAGGCATGAGCTACCACGCCCGGCTGATTTTTTGATTTATTGTAGAGATGAGGTCTCGCTGCCCAGGTGGGTCTTGAGCCCGCGGGCTCAGGAAATCCGCTCACCTCAGCCTCCCAAAGGTGCGGGATTACAGGCTGAGCCACCGAGCCCGGCTTATTTATTTGTTTTTTGAGTCAGAGTCTTATTCTGTCACCCAGGATGGAGTACAGTGGCACACTCACGACCACCACGGCCTTGACTTGCTGGGCTCAGATGATCCTTCCTCCTCAGCCTTCCAAGTAGTTGGAACTACAGGTAAGCGCCACCACACCTGGATACTTGTTTGATTTATTGTAGAGATGAGGTCTTGCCAAGTTACCCAGGCTGGTCTCGAACTTGTGGGCTCAGGCAATCCTCTCACCTCGGCCTCCTGAAGTGCTGGGATTATTGGTGTAAGCCACCACGCTTGGTCTTTTTTTTTTTCTTTTGAGTTGGAATCTCACTCTTGTCGCCCAGGCTGAAGTGCAGTGGTACACTCATGGCCACCGCAGCCTCAGCCTGCTGGGCTCAGGTGATTCTTCCGCCTCAGCCTTACAAGTAGCTGGAACTACAGACGCACACCACTGTGCCCAGTTAGTTTTTGTGATTTATTGTAGAGATGAAGTCTCACCAAATTGCCCAGGCTGTCTTGAACCCATGGGCTTAGGCAATCCTCTTGCCTCAGCCTCCCAAAGTGCTGGGATTACAGGCATGAGCCTCAGCACCTGGCCTCTACCCATTATGATGCTGTAGCAGGTGGGATCCAGGACTGGGTCCCTGTCCCTCCCTCTGCCTCTCGCCCCCTTCTGTGGAGTTTCCCAGGCCTATTTCTCCTGCTCTGGGTTCTAGCGCATCCAGCCTTACGGGGTGTTCCTCTGCACACCTGTCTCACTTTGTTCCCTGCCTCCTGCAGGCACTGGTGCTTTTCTGGTACTTGCTCTGTGCCCAGCAAAGGTCTCAGCTCAGATGCCACTTCTGAGATGCCCTCTGGGCCTCTCCTTGGAAACTCAACTCCCAAGGCCAGGACAGCCTCCTCATTCCTTGCAGATGCCCAGTGCTCAGAACAATGCCCGCACATAGTAGGTGCTCAATAAATGCAGCTCAGCGAGTGAAGCTGATCTTCCCGAGCAGTCCCTTGCCCCTGAAGCTCTCCTGCTCTGGACGCAATCATACTGACATGTCACTACCTGTGTGACCGCCCCCCTTCTACTGGACCCAACTCCCCGAGGACTGGGTTCCACATTATGTGTCACCGGAGTTAGGAATGGCACTCAAGTCCCTGGGAGCCCCTCTCACTGCCCACCATGTGGCAGGTCTGTGTGGCTGTGTCTGGCATCGTGTCTCCTTGCACCATGCTCCTGTTCCCCCATGCTCCCATGCCCCCACTGGCCGAGCCCGCCATGGCTCACCATGGACGATGAGGTAGACCTGAGTGGTATATGGCTGGTGGCGGGTCTGGAAGGAGCAGGTGTAGAGGCCCTCATCGCCGAGCCCCACCTCAGTGATGAGGATGGAGAACTCCTCAGGGGTGTTGATGAGAAGCCGCACACGCGGGTCGCTGGTCCAGCGGTCATTGCCAGCGTACAGGATGTTGGAGCGGTTCAGCCAGGCCACGCGGGTCACGTGCTCATCAATGAAGCAGCTGAGGGGAGGCGGGGTTGGAGGAAGGCTTTTCCCACCACCCAGCCTAGCCCTCCAGGGTCCCCCTCGAGGGGCTGGGAGGGAGGAGGCCACTGCATCTCCAGAGCCACCAGCCCTGTGAAGCCATGTGACTGTGCCCACCCCACAGAGTGGTAAGCTGAGCCTCAGGTAGGAAAGCAGGGGCCTGAGTGCACAATGGAATGACAGCTGATGGCTATTGGATGAGTGCTGTGTGTCAGAGACCCAACAATGGGACAGATGCTGTGGGAGAGAGGAATAGAGATGCAGAGGAGGGAACAGAGAGAGAGAGAGAGAGAGAAAGAGAGAGGAAAGAGATAGACAGAGACTCAGAGAGAGGGGGACAGGGAGTGTGAGAGAGAGAGAGACCCAAAAAAGAGGGGAGGACAGATACCCAGAGAGAGAAGGAGACAGAAAGTCAAGAGGGGAAGAGAGACCCCGAGAGAGGGGACACAGATCCAGAGAGAGAAAGAGACAGAGACCCGGGGGGGGGGGTAGGACAGAGACCCAGAGAGAGAGAGACCCAGAGAGAGAGAGACAGAGATCGGGGAGGGGGGCAGAGACCCAGAGAGAGAAGGGGACAGAGACCCAGAGAAAGAGGGACAGAGACCTAGAAAGAGAAGGAGACAGAGACCCAAAGAGAGGGGGACAGAAACCCAGAAAGAGAGACAGAGACCCGGGGGAGACAGAGACCCAGAAAGAGAAGGAGGCAGAGACCCAGAGGGGGGTGGGACAGAGACCTAGAGATAGAGGGAGACAGAGACCCAGAGAGTGAGGGGGACAGAGACACAGAGAGAAAGGGACAGAGACCCAGAGAGGGAGGGGGACAGAGACACAGAGAGAGGGGGACAGAGACACAGAGAGAGAGAGACAGAGACCCAGAGAGAGAGGGAGACAGAGACCCAGAGAGAGGGGGAAAGAGACCCAGAGAGGGGGGAAGAGATCCAGAAAGAGGGAGGGATAGACACCCAGAGAGAGGGAGACAGAGACCCAGAGAGAGAGAGAGAGAGAGAGAGACCCAGAGAGAGAGAGACAAAGACCTAGAGAGAGAGGAGAACAGACCCAGAGAGAGAGGGGGAACAGAGAGCCAGAGAGGAGGGAGACAGAGACCTAGGGGGGGTGGATAGAGACCCAGAGAGAGACAGAGATCCAGAGACCCAGAGAGAGAGGGGAACAGAGACCCAGAAAGAGAGGGGGACAGAGAACCAGTGAGAGGAGGACGGAGACCCAGAGAGAGGGGGACGGAGACCCAGAGAGAAGGAGACAGAGACCCAGAGAGGGGGACAGAGACCTAGAGAGTGAGGGGGACAGAGACACAGAGAGACAGAGACCCAGAGAGAGAGGGGAACAGAGACCCAGAGAGAGAGGGGAAGAGAGACCCAGAAAGAGAGGGGGACAGAGACCCAGAGATAGGAAACAGAGACCCAGAAAGAAGAGACAGAGACCCAGAGAAGGGGACAGAGACCCAGAGAGAGAGGAGGACAGAGACCTAGAAGAAGGGGGACAGATGCCCAGGGTGAGGAGAGGCAGAGATCTGGGAGACAGTGACCCCACCTCTTGTTCATGAAGCCGTCACCACACACCACTCTCTCTGAATGCAGTGTGTGTATAAACTCTTGAATCCTCACAATAACCTGCATTGTCGTTACCACCTCCCCACCTCTTTGACAGATGGGGACATTGAGGCTCGGGGTGGAGCCGGCTCCTGGCAGCCTCACTCCTAATGGGCAGGTGGAGCCCAGGCCTTCCTAGTCCAGGCTGTCCCTGTAGTCAGGATCCCTCAGGAAGGGGAGGGGCAGGACCATGTAGCTCCGAGCTCCTCTGAGCTCCCAGGAGGTACCTGAGGGTGGCGTTGTCACCTTCGCACACCGTGTAGTTGTCGGCAGGAGAGCTGAACTCCAGGCTCTGTGACAGCAGTCCTACAAGGGAGGGGGAGTGGAGGGGGGTGGTTGCAGCTCAGCCCCTGCGTCTTGGCAGGGCCCAACACAGCTGAGACTGTACACGCGCGCACACACACCCACGCACACATGCCCTTGTGGACACAGACATCTCCTGCTCCCACTACCACATGCATGCATTGGTGTCTTCTTTCTTTTTGGAGTCGGAGTCTTACTCTGTCGCCCAGGCTGGAGCGCAGTGGCAAGCTGACGGCTACTGCAGCCTCCACCTGCTATACTCAGGCGGTCCTTCCACCACAGCCTTCCAAGTAGCTGGAACTGTAGGCGCATGCTATGACACCCAGCTAATTTTTTGCTTTATTGTAGAGCTGAGGTCTCGCCATGTTCTCCAGGCTGCTCTCGAACCATGGGCTCAGGCAGGCCTCTCACCTCAGCCACCCAAAGTGCTGGGATTATAGGCATGAGCCACCGCACCCAGCTATTTGCAGATTTAGTACGCAAAGACCCATGTATGCACAGGTTCACAATTACGTAGGTATTTACACACATGCACAGATATGCACACACAGACACATACCTAGGTCCAGATACACAAAATACATGCACAGACAGAGAATGCTGGCCACAGTCTACAGAGAGATGAACGGGTAGAGGTGATGGGGCCTGTGCGCTGGGTTGAGCATGCAGGCACAGTGTATATAGACACATGAACACACGCAGATACAAACAGACACATATGCATGCATAAGGGAAGACATATAAGTATTCACAGGGGACCAGACACAGTGGCTCATGCCATAATCCCAGCACTTTGGGAAGCTGAAGTGAGAGGATTGCCTGAGCCTGCAGGTTCGAGACCAGCCTGGGTAACATGGTGAGACCTCATCTGTACAATAAATCACAAAATTAGTCGGGCATGGTGGCGCCCGCCTGTAGTCTCAGCTACTTGGGAGGCTGAGGTGGAAGGATGGCCTGAACCCAGCAGGTTGAGGCTGCAGTGGCCGTGAGCGTGCCCCTGCACTCCAGCCTAGGTGACCGAGTGAGATTCTGACTCTAAATAAATAAATAAATCTGGGAATGTATGTATGTTCTATGTATGCATATATCTGTGCATCTATGCACATGTCTGCATATGTATGTCTTATGTTGTGTCCATGTGTCCGTGTGTGTGTCTGTGCCTACATGCCTTTGTGTGTATCTGCACATGTGTGTCTGGATGCTGTCTCTGCGTCCCCAGAGGTGTGCAGATTAGGCTGTCCACGTGAGCCTACCCATCCCAGCCTGTGGGTCAGCATGTGCCCGTGCTCTGATGGTGTCTGCTGTGTGTGCATCTCTCCATGGGATGGGCACAGTGGCTCACACCTATAATATCAGCACTTTGGGAGGCCGAAGGGAGAGGATTGCCTAAGCCTATGGGTTCGAGACGAGCCTGGGCAACATGGTGAGACCTCATCTCTACAATAAATCTAGAAAAATTAGGCAGGCATAGTGGCATGTGCCTGTGGTTCCAACCAATTGGAAGGCTGAGGCGGAAGGATCGCCAGAGCCCAGCAGGTAGAGGCTGCAGTGGCTGTGAGCGTGTCACTGTACTCCAACCTGGATGACAGAGTGAGACTTCAACTCAAAAGACAAAAAATACACTGAAAGACACACTGAGCCAGCTGCATACAGACACTCAACACAGACATGTAGACACACAAATACAAACACACACACACACACACACACACACACACACACACACACACAGATGCACACATGTACGCCCCCAGACACACATATCACAGACGCACATATGTACACTCAGACACACGAACCTTAGCAGACACGCACACTGACACAGCCCCACTGTGTGTCCACGCCGCCCGCAAGCTCAGCCCGGCGCGTGGGCCTTGTCACCCCCACCCGCTCATCTCTCTGTGGACTGTGTCCAGCGCGCTGGACCCCAGCCAGGGAGAGGGGGCTGGGCACGCGGAGGCGGTGGAGCCGGCACCAGGCGGAGAGGGAGGGAGGCGGCTGGATGACCTTGGACGCCTGGAGCGGGAGGGCCCTGCGCCGGGCTGCCCTACCCCCAGCCTGGGTCAGGAGCTAATTAATCTAATGAATTAATGGCCCGTGCTGCCCCAATGACTCCCGGGGGCCCGTTCCATCAGCAGCCCCTCCGGATGGGGCCAGGACGGAGCCAGCTACAGTGGGCTGGCTGGGTCCTGGGGTTTGAGCCCAGCCCTGCAGCCCCTCATCCCGGGGTCTGGCTCAGGCCAGAGTCTCTGCTGGGCTTCAAAGGACCCAGGATGGAGGGAGGGGGGTCCCCCTCCCCAAGCTGTGCACGATGGACATGCAACCCTGGGAACAGTGGGAGATGACCAGGGACACGGACACACACACACACACACACACACACACACACACACACACAGGTTTGGACAAGACAAGGAGACCTCCCCAAGCCAAGCCAAGAAATGGTCCCCACGCTAACAATGGCTTTGCCCAGAGAGGTGCACACACAGTCATACACACATACCAACATGCACACAGAAGATAATCCCACCCTCTCAGTCACATGCACAGCTGTGGCCCTGCTCAGAGGGACAGGTATGTACATAAAGGGACATCAACACACCCAGCTCCACACAGGCCCCCAGCAGGAGGTCAGGTAGAAAACAGGCTCTGTCCCAAGAGTTGTCATAGGGTTACATTCAGCCACAAAGGGTCAGTTCCAGGCCAAGTGACCAATGTACTTGGAGTCACCCCCCGCCATATACAACCAGTTACCACCCGGTTCTGCTAATACCAACAGTCCCCCATGCATAGCTGCAAAGCCCTCACAAGGTTACAACCCTACACATGAATGTGCACACACACACTCACATACACACATCTAACTGGTTCCCCTGACACCACCAGCCCGAGCGCCATGCTTGCCCCCACCCTCCACTTTGGAAAGTTCTGGGTCAAATCTGCACAGGGCTACAACACGTGTGACAAGATAGCAACCCTGTCACATCTCCTCAAACACAAAGACGCAGCCCTGGGCCGAGAATCAGGTCATGTTGTCACTGATGATCAGATCACACACGGTCGTACACACACGCAGGGAGTTGAGAAGTCACGCATAAAAAGATGCTTTTGGACCAAAAGGCAGTCGTGGGTAGTGCCACATCCAGTGATGTGAAACGGAGTCAAGTGTGCACACTAAGATTCCATCTCAGGCTGGTCAACACAGACATTCCCTCTCCCCCAATCCCCAGGATTTGTCATATTCTTGGTGACACACATCCTAGGCCAGGGTTCCTAAACCTTGGTGCCACTGACACTGGAAGCTGGACTGTCCTGTGAGCTGAAGGGTATTGACAGCATCCCTATCCTGGGCCTGCTCTCAATAACCCCCTCCATCCCACCCCAAATGCCTCCAGACACTGCCAGATGCCTCCCAGGGGGCAAAGTCACACCCCACTCCCCTACTGAGAGCCACTGTCCTAAAGGAACCAAAGCACAAGCGTAAAGGGGAGGGGAGCTGTCCAAGGTACCCCCCAAAAAGGATCAGCGAATCCAGGGCTCCTGAACTCAGCTGGTGACTTGAGCCATACACACCAGGGCCCTGTATGGGCAGTGAACCCAGAAGAGACAGGCAGGACAGTTTTTTGTTGTTGGTGTTGTTTTAGTTGGGGTCTTACTCTATCACTCAGGCTGGAGTGCAGTGGCATACTCGTGGCTCAACACAGCCTCGACTTCCTGGGGTCAGGTGGTCCTTCTGCTTCAGCCTCCTGAGTAGCTGAGACTACTGGTGTGTGCCACCACACCCGGCTATTTACTTATTTGTTTATTTATATATTGTAGAGATGAGGTATCGCCAAGTTGACCTGGCAGTTCTTGAAGCCCTGGGCTCAGGCAATCCTTTCACTTTGGCCTCCCAAAGTGCTAGGATTACAGGCATGAGTCACCATGCCTGGCTGCAGACAGGATTCTTAACCAGGTATCACGGCAGGCAGAAACACCAGCAGACAGACAGACGCCAGTGCAAGGGGTCCTCCCAATACTCAAAACCGACTCAGCCCTTCTTGTGGGTTCCACCTGCCCACATGACCCAGTGTCTGGCAGGGCCCTGGCGATGTCCTCCTGCCTTGTCTCCCTGGCACATGCATGGTCTGGCTGCATCTCCCCCCTCCCCCAAGCCTCTGCCTCATCAAAACACTTCTCCTCCAGGTAGCTAGTACAAGGGGACTGTCCTAGGAGGCCCTGGGTGTTCCAGATCACTTGACTTAGATCTGGCTTCTCTGCCTCCCTGCCTGACCCTGGGCCGGTTTGAGGGCAGTTCCTGAAGATGTGTGATGAATGAATTCATCCCTTGAGTGGGCTTTTGTTCCTGGTCCGTGTGTCTATGAATGTGGATGTCATGGGTCTATATATCTGACTCACAAAATCCCCAAACTCTAGGAGCAGAAGGCTGGCTCCACGCTGTGTAACCTCAAACAAACCTTTTTCCCTCTCTGGGCTTCAATAAATAGGGGTGGGGTCAGGCTAGCCCATTCAAGAGTGATCTTCTTTTTTATTCTGAGTTGGAGTCTCACTCTGTCACCCAAGCTGGAGTGCAGCAATATCATCATAAGCTCACTGTAGCCTCGACCTCTTGGGCTCAAGCAATCCTCCTGCCTCAGCTTCCCAAGTAGCTGGGCCTACAGGCACATGCCACCATGCCTGGCTAGTTTTTAAATATTTTATAGAGAAGAGGTCTTGCTATGCTGGCCAGGCTGGTCCTAAAACTCCAAGGCTCAAGCAATCTTTTGCCTCAGCCTTTCAAAGTGCTGGGATTACAGGTATGAGCCACTCACTGTCTTGGCCTGGGCTGACCTTCTTAGAGTCTACAACCCACTCCGTCCCTGGGCCTGGCCCCTCCCTCTGAGTACTCTGGACTGTGTCTGCTGCCCTCACTAGGTGGCTGCTTCCCCAGGGCAGGGCCTGGCCCTCAGAAGGACCAATAAACAAGCTTGTGCCCATGAAGTCCACCCTAGCTTCCATTAAAGCCCAGATTATACTGTGGCAACTGGCTTCCCCATCAGACTAGAAGTTTCTTAAGGACACAGCCTGGATCTGACTCAGGTCTGTGTCTCCAGCATCTCCCATCACAAGGCCTGGCCCACCAGAGACATTGGGAAATATTTTTTGAATGAATGAATATAAATGGATGGCTGCACCATGCTTCTCCAACTCTTGAACTCCTACTGTTTCTTCAATACCCCCTCAAAAATGCCCCTTCCTCCACCAGGATCTCCTTGACAGCTCAAGGCAGAGTCCTCACCTCTTCCTCCGGGCACCCTTTGGCTCAGCTGAGATAGTGTCTATGATGCCTCTTACATTTGAGGGCCTCAATCTTAGTTGTGTCCCCCAGGGCTGGGCCTGCCTCAGAGCTCAGAAAGGGAGGATGTCTTTCCTTTGTTGAATGGGAATGAATGGTCTTCAGAGATCAAATAATAAAGCCCGGAGACTGGGATGGCAGATCAAATGACTGTCCCACCATGTCCTGGCTAAAAAAAATACAAGTCTTTCCCTGCGAGGGATTCCGGGAGACTACACAAGCAAAGTGTCAGCTCAGCGCTTGGCATGCAGAGAGGGCCCAATAAATGCTGGCTGT